CCCCAAAACCCCAAAACCCCAAAACCCCAAAACCCCTAAATATATATTTTTAATTGAATTTCATTATTTTTTCATTGTGATTTTAGGCATTCTAGGGAGCCTTAGAGCTGGCTCTTGAGGATTCCATGCCCGAAAGACATACCTAAAGGAGGCTGAGGTAGATGGAGCTTTGAGGAAGAGTTTTTAGTGCTGAGTTTAGTCAAGAACATTCCCTTTCTGTTCCTACCTAACTTTTCAATCTTGTTTAATTTTAGAAGTTTCTTGATTTGAGGTTTTTTAGCAACATTCTGAGACTCAATTCCTTCGGCCTTTATTTGTTGACCCCAGCTTGGATTCATTATTATGTTAGAATTGTGATCATCAAAGCGAGATAAATCTTTGAACTCTTTCCTTACAGATTTTATGCTGCAGAGTAATCCAGACACCTACCTAAATAAAGATGGCTTCCCAAAGATCTTCTGTGAGAGCTTTGGCTTTCCTAATTTATATTTCTTCTTATTAATTTCTGGAAGGAATAGCATTGATACATCAAAGTCTTTGTCCATGGTAATGTGACCTTGACTTGCAACTCTACTCAACTTTTTGGTACTCATGAGCTCGTTGCCACTCATTAGAGTATCATAGTCTCCTGTCAGCTCAAGAATATGTTGGTCATTTGGCAAAATTGGATTTATTTGTTGAGAATCCTTGGGTGTGCTCATGCCAAACTTTTCAAAACTTTTCTGAAACGTTAAAGTTGAACCAAGCATAGGCTCTTTATGGCCGATTGGCAATGCTAGTTGAGAAGAACTCCTTTTCATTTCAGGCCCCTAAACATTGCTATTGCAAAGGTACCTTCTTGAATTTTCCATTTTCTTGGATGCTCACACCTTGGGAGGCATTCATTATATTAAAGTTGGAACCTGCTGGCTGAATTGAATTGTTGAAATATTTCCCAAGATGCTTGAGCTTATTTCTTCTAAAAATATCAATACTTTAAAGTACCTTTTTACTGAGCTTTTCAGATTCCTGAGTTGGGGTTGGCTTGAAATGCTTTTGAACAATCTCATCTTGTGACAAGTTGGACCTCTTGATATTATGTATAGTTTCCTGAGAAGTCTTGATCATCGGTTTAAGCTTAGTTCTAATCCGAGGCTGTGAATTAGACCCTAAAAGATACCTGAGAAAGAGTCTGTGGCATTCTGTCATTATTATTCGGTTTGACAAATATTATCTCACCGTCATAATTATAAGTATAAGCTCTTTTGGCGAGTAGCTTTTCCTCGTTTTTTAGAGCAGCAGCTCTACTTTTGGCAAGGAGCTTTCTTCTTACATCTTTAGCTTTATTTAATTTCTTGTTGTTCTCTACGAGGTAATTTGAAGAGATTACAGCTCATATTCCTTGATCTTTATTACCCTCATTTGAGTAGTAAACAGATCTTCTGGATCTTCCTGTTCTACGACCACTGGTTTTTGAATTGGGGCTAAAAGTTTTAATCAAGCGAATACCAAATTTATTTAGTCAAATGATTGATTCCCTTCAATTTAAGATCTCGCTTGAAAAGAGAGGTCTTTGATTGGATAGATAAAGAACCTTTTTTGGAATGCTCTTCTTCACTCACATTATCCTCTCCAGCTATTGGTTAACTTATGCAAATACCTAAATGACCGAGTCTGATAGTTTTCTTCACGGGAACATTGTTCGTTACAAATCTATCTAAGATAGACGGAGGCTAGGTTTATGATGAACTAAATACCTCAACTTCTTCTACTTCCCAATTATGGCTATCATCTGCTTTGCTTTCTCCAGTATCATAGTTGATATAGGTGATATTGTGGATATTCCTAAAATGTAAGATTTGCTCTTCGATGACATATGGCTCAGCCAGAGCCATTATTTTGTCTATTTCAGATCTGCAACAAGCTCTGTCAATTGTTTTGTCAATTCTATGTTGGTTTAAATTGAGTAAGCAAGACTGGTCTTACAGAGAGGAGATATTGGCAAGCACACCTACGGTTAGAACGAAAGCTTACTTGGGTCAGACATTTTATTTTTATGTCAATTGGGAAACTGGGAAGGGGTTTTGGGGTTTTGGGGTTTTGGGG